TGTAGGACTCCTGAAGGGTCAAGGTCGTAGCTGAAGGGCTCCTGAAGGGTCAAGGTCGTAGCTGTAGGACTCCTGAAGGGTCAAGGTCGTAGCTGCTACAGTCCTGAGAGGTCAAGGTCGTAGCTGCTACAGTCTTCGAAAGGCCAGGACCCAAACTTCTGGAAGGTCCCAGTAGTGGCCTTTCGAAGCTGCTCACGTTTAGACCGAGGCAAGTGGGCAAGTGGTGGAGTCTACCCGTGCTCAGTCAGCAGTCCCAGTCCCACTCAGTCCTAGTCCAGTCAAGCAAGTACCGTATGGGACTGTGTGTACCCAGGGCATGGGAACGGGCCAGACCAACGAGCTACAGAAGTATAAGTCAAGAGGCAGCGCCCAGCCATTCATTCATTCCTGCGTAAGCCATGCGGAAGTGCTGCCACAGCGACTTGTGCGAGGTGGTCTGCAGTGAGCCCGAAGACGAAGTGGGCGAGAAGGAAGCTTAGCCATAGCGATAGGGTAGCAGCGGCCATAGCCGCCATAGCTGTAGAAGTGTGTGCGTGTGTGTGTACAGAGTGATGCGTGTGGGATATCCAGGGTGATCCTAAGTGACTGCGTGTGAACAGTGGGGTTGGGTGAGTGACGAACAGAGAGTCGTACAGGCGCTGATGCGCCATAGCCACTTGAAGTGAACTTGTACCTGAACTACGTTCTTGGTTACTATATCTCTGAGTTTTGAGTGGGCGTTTGTCGCCAGTTTGCTGCGCAACCTGTTTGCATGAGTGTGAAGTGTGAAAGATAGTGAGTCTGATTGCTGCTTCTTTTTTTTTTTTTTTTTTTTTTTTGGCCCGGCCTGGCAAGTTGCCCTGGGCCACTGCGGTAGCCTAAAGTTTGAAGTACTTTTTTTTAATTGTATGAACTACTATGAAGATTTGAACCTTTCTCTGGCGTTTCTGCTTTTTTTTGCTTTTTGTTATTAATTGTAATTAATCGATGCTGGCTCGCATTCCTGTCGTCAGCGTGTGCATGCCCCTGGTGATAGGTGCCGGCCCCGTTCTGATGTTTCCATTCTATTGGTGGGGAGCTGCACCTCCGGCGTCCCATATGAAACAGGAACAGGGTATCCCTAATTACATACTAGCTGCAGGACCTCTTCGCCTTAAAGCACCAGTACACCACGCATCGGTCCGCGGGTGTCAGCATAGAACCCGCACCGCTTCGGAGGCCGCCGATTTTTTTTCCAACAGCCCCCCACGCCACACGGCCCCTCTGAGCTTTGCTTGTGGCGACAAAAACTTTCTGCAAGCCTGGGGCCGTGTACTTGCGGTTTTAGGCACCAGTAAGGAGTGTGAAACTAGTCCTTGTGCAGCTACCCGCCTTCCCTTTCGGTTATAGAATTGATAGTTCACTGAGTGCAGCTACCAGCCTTAAAAAACTTACGCCTGAAAAGTCTGTGGTTTCTAAGTGACCAGAGATGATAGAGATGATGGACATGATCGCTGCTCCACAGGCCATAGCCACGTAGCACCCACCCTTTCCCACCTCTTCAGCATTTACTATGATGCCTTCCACAGCAAACTGCTCTCCGCACTTAATGTTGATGTATGTCCAGGTGCTTCTGCCAAAGCCTTGCGCACCAATCCCAAATCCTTTTGGATTCTATGCAGTCGCACCGGAGGTGAGGTGAGAAGCAGTGTCTACTTTCTTCCTGCATCTACCGCATGTGGTGTCTACTATCTATATCCATTCTGTTGGCTGCCAACCACCTTGCGGGGGGAACAGCTCTGTGCGATTGCAACCACACAAGGCTTGACAGCTTCGCTGAAGGGATTTTGCGCAGATCCTTCCCCAGTTTTCTGAGTGAGGCTGCCCTGATCTGAGAGACTGGACCTGACCTCTCCCTGGCTTCTGCTAGCCATTGACTCTTGATTTCTAAAGCTATAGCAGAAGACTTGAATCGGATCTGATTCCTATACCCTTTTTTTTTGTTTTT